ACCAGAGGCACAGATGGTATTGCGTATTTTCTCAGTGTTTGCTCGGGCACGTTTTTCCGCGGAAAGAGAGAGTTGCTGCAGCGCGCGACACGACCGCCGCATTGTTCTTCTGGGTGCAATTGCGCGCGGCAGAATGTCGCTCGGCTTTCCTTTTTTTTTTTTTTTTTGTTTTTTTATTCGAAACGTCTAAGAGATAAGAGAGCTTTTGCACGCATGAGAAATGCGACGTGTTCTAATCTAGTTTTGTCCATGCGCGTTTCTCTATAAAGTGTAAAATATATGTAGCGAGAAACGGCTATATTCATGTCACACCGTTTCCGTAGCGTATTTGTTAATAAACGAGTATATATATATATATAGAGAAACTCTTTATTTTTTGTAATAAACGAGTATATGAGAGAAACTCTTTAAATCACTATCTCCCCCCGGTCAAAAAATTAAATCGGCAACTTTGTATTTGTGTGCAAATGCACGGACTTTCGCGCGCTCCTACAAGCCGCCGATATGCGTGTATATATATGTATCTATGTTCATTCGAGCTTTCAGAACAGAGCGAGATGCGGGTCTAGAAACCGACTGTTTTATTTATGGATCGTTCGCACGTATGCGCGCGACATGCTCGCTTTCTGAAGCTTAATGGACCGTGAGAGCGGACACATCGCGGCTTCTTTCGAAGTGACTCTACGACTCTCAAGGGTGTTCCCGACAAGAAGCAACTTTCGTCAAAGCGTTATTTTTCCCGCACGAGAGAGCCTCCACGAGGTATATGTTTTTTAGGCCAGAAAGCCTAGAATTTATTGGGAAAACTACGTTTCGACACACGTAAGAAGTTTCTCTGTCCGCAAACACACACGTAGATCTTTCTCACGAAATCTGTCTAAATGTTTTGAAATTCGTTATTGAACAATCGCTAGACACGACGATTCTTTTCGATATATTCACTTCGACTATAACTAGGTGTTGCGAGAAATTTGACTTACCTTTTCCGCAATCGGAGCAAATAGCGTGATACATGTAATTGTTGGCGCAATCGGACGCGCCTGGCCGCTTTGAAGTAGTAAATTGAAAAAACGTCCTCTTCATAATGCTCGCCGATGAATCATGTACTTACTTCGTAACGCGTTCGTGGAAAAATCTCACGCAGTCGAGAGAGCTTTGTCGGCGGTACAGACAAACGGAATGACCATTATATAGAATGACTCACTGACGTGAAAATCATCGTGTGCCTAGAGAGAAGATACAATATAATACCGCCCGCCGCGATCGGCAAATCACATAGAATTAAAATTTCCCAAGTCGAAATTTAGCGTCTACACGTTGAACCTCAATTCCTATTTTTTTTATATAGGAGTAAGAGAGAAAATAGTATCGTACCTTGATGCTGCTATATGTCCGAAATTTTCTTTTTTCCCGCTAAAGTTTTAAAGTAGGGTTCAATTCTCAGCTCAGACTGCGCATTGCAGGTTCCGATACACACCGAAAAAATTATATTCTCGTAAGTAGAAGATTTTATACTTAAAAAATCTTCTTAAAGATTTTAGATGATATTCTTTATTTAAGAATATATTCTTAATTTAAGAATATAATCTTTTTCGATAGTGAAATATATATATGTTTTTCTATAGAGGATTTTTATATTTTAATCGGTATATATTCTTATCAATATTACTATTTAGAGGATTTTTCTCTTAAAATAAGAAACTCTTCTTGACGCCTATTTTAGTATAAAATATACTTAAAGTAAGTGGGATATCCTCAAAACAAGAATACAATTTTTTTCGGTGTAGGCTCAAAATAGGCTCTGATAGGCTCAAAGTAGGAGTAAGAAAAAAAGTAGATGCTACTTTGACGCTGCTATACGTCCGAAATTGTCTTTACTTATATCATATAATAGCTTTGTTGCAACGTTCGTTTGAAAGACGAATCTATCGCTAAACTTAGAACGGACGCTGATAAAAAATATACGCAGTTTATTAAATATATTATAAATCTTACAATCGTGTCTGCTATCGATCACGAAATGTCACCCTCATTATTAATAATTTTCGCGGAAGCTATTTGAATATTAGATGTCGCGCGATCGATGCGAAACGTTATGGAATATCCCCATGTTGCACACACGTCGGAATCACGTTTCGCGCGCGCTCGTCGGCCTCCATTAACGGAATGGACAAAAAAAAAAAAAATGTGAAAAGAATCTATGAAAGTGCGAAAATGTTTCTGCCACTCACGTCGTGTCGCCGCGCAAATTCTAATGCGTCTCGAGCAATCGTGACATCGCAGACATCAACTGACGAGATAATTGCATCCCCGACTGCGAATTTCGTCCCGCGAAAAAAGTCCCAGCGAGGACTTTCACTCCGATGATGCACTCCGCGAGATTTTCGCTCTCGGAATATATACATCGGGAGAGTCGTAAAACGCAACACCGTCGGTTTTGTTTTTAGCTCTTTCCAAGAGCTTTCGCTAACGGTTGAAAACTTGTACTTTGCTGTCGTCGAGTTCTTTTCGAACCGATCTACGTGTACGTCACGACGACGTTTAGGCGATCGCGCGTGACTTCACTATATGACCGTTGCGTTTCGCGAAAACGGACACCGTGTGAAATCGCGCTTCGTATCTAACGCCAGATTATTCGCGATTGATTCGCGTACTTTTGTCTCATATAAAAATCCATCTGTTCAAGATTCAAATGTTAATATGACGAATCACAGAAAAACAAAGTGTTGCTATTGGTCAGCAAGAAAAATCGTTGAGTCTCTTGAATTTTTTGTTTCGTCAACAAAAAACTCTCAACAGGCTTTAGCAAAGTTTTCTTTGCTGCCCGATACGGTAACTAATTTTCTGGCTAAATCTGTTTTTCTTCCGTGCACGCAAGACGAAATTTCTCTCTCGATGAGGTTTCCGTCACATTTGCAAAGTTCAAACCAAAATTGTGAAATTACGCGCACATAATCCGGGTCCATTTTAGACCGAACACATCCGACGATCTTTCGGTTCCTTGACACATTCGCTGTGTGTTAACTTCGCGGTATTTAGCGCGCTATTAGAGTTAAATGAGCCGGACGAATGAGTTAGCTAAGACGAATGAGCTCTCCCTCTCTCTCTCTCTCTCTCTTGCATCCACGGCAATCTCTCGAGACTAATTTTCTATGGGATTGGACTCTCCATTGTTGTCTGTTGCAATAAGCGGAGACAACGTAAGGAAGCGAAACGAGTGGTTGGTTACCTAACACCTCCCCCGATGTCGCGGAACAAAGGGTTTTAATCGGCGGGGGATTGTTCGTTTTCGTCCTGACGAAAAAAGAGATACTTCCGAACGAGAGAGCGAGAGAAGTGTCGTAGGTCGTTTCTCCGTTACGACATGGTATGTTCGGTGCTGCAGTCGATGTGTGTGTCGACGTTCACCTACTCAAAGCAGGAATGCAGGTGAACTCCTCAAGACAAGAGCACACAAACATTGATTATATTATATCGGTCGAAGAAATTCCAGACATCCCCTCTTGATCGAATCCTTTCCGAAAGCTCTTCCGAACATAATCGTAAAACAAAAACTAAACGCTGCTATAAATTGTGGAAAAAAATGTCTAATGGATATTCTTCTAGTTCTGAATCTTCTTCTTACGTCTTTGGCAATTAGAGCAAGTGTAGAAGCGGCGGAACGTTTGGAATTCATCGAATTCCGAGACGACAGATTCGATCGACGTTATCGAGCTACTATATACAGCGGCGACGTTAATTAATTCGCGATGCTCCAATTCCGGAGGAGATTGCGAGAATATATCTGACGACGAGAGCAATTAATTGAGAGAGATATTCGATGAAATATAACATCGCGGGAACGAATCGTCGAGATTTCTTTCTTTTTCCATAAAACATAATTTAATGGAAGAAGAGGACGGCGCGACGACGCTCTTCTTATTCGTTAATGTCTGCGAATTGCCGCAATTCCAATGAACGAGAGAGAGAGAGAGAGAGATTCAGATTGTTCCGTAGGCGCCGCAAGATTGGATGAAAGCGACGACGGCATGAATCCATTAGCACAGGAGAGGGTCGCGACGGGATCTATTCTGAGCGACGGGCGAAAATAGTCGTCTGTGAGTGTGCCACGATGAGAAACGTAGGCGTATATTTGACGCCGTTTTCGATCGATAGTTCGTTTTCAAGCCGAATGATCGGGAAGAAAACAACCGCGACGGGATATATCGATCGAATACGTTTCGCTCGCGTTTTGATGACGTCAATCTCTCGATTTGCTCTTTCATTGTAGTTTTTTTTTTGTTTTTTGCAAGGGCGGACAGTGATCTCACGTCTTAAATTATCAAGATAACGAGCGCCTGTTGCGCGCGCCTGCGCGCCTTTTAAGGAGCAATTATTTTTGAAATGGCAAAACTCCATTAGGTTTAAGGAATCTGAAAGCTATATATCGGCTAATTCCGGACGAAGCAAAATCTTGAGCCGAGAAATTCTAGAAGTCGGTTTCACGTTCCTCGAAACGCGCTGCAGTCCGACAGCAGACGTGCGCGCGCGAGCGATTTCACGACCTAAGCGTTTGGAGGAATATTCATCAAAGCTGATAAAACGCGCCATCGGCTGCGTCGCCGTGGCTTATCGCCAACTTTTGCTCTCGATCGCGGTTTAATAAACGATCCCGTACGCAGATACGATTGATTGTATTCGAGATGCGGATAGTCTCTCTTCCGCGCCGCGCTCGTTACGGATATATACGTTCGCGATAAATGCGTGAATCATCGATTCTCCTCTCTGAATCTAATCTCGAAACTTGCCGGCGCGCTAATATTAATAGCGCCGCTGCCATTTACGGCGTGCGCTATTTGAACGCGCGATGAAAACGAAAGTTTTCGTTCGACGCAGGGGGAGGGAAGTTTCTAAACACAGCGAATCGAGATTAACTTAACGCGGCTATCTAATTGCCTCAATTGTGTGATCGATAATTTGAATCGCTCTTTTTTATGTTCCCGCAATTTTGCGAATTTCAGGTGAATTGTACGTGGAGGATCTGGGCGAGAAGAGAACGGTTTCCATCAGGATGGGTTGGTTGTGGGTCGAAGGCACCCCGATGAGGCTACCACTGAGGGCGTTGAACCTACGTCAAGCACCACCCAGTCACTGCCAACCGCACACGCTCGCTCTGGGATTTACCTTGAGCAACTCGCAGGGTCGTTCGCTCGCCACATTTTGGGTAATTATTGTCGCTAATTCGAATCTTCTCATTCAATTTGTTTTTTTTTTTTTTCTACATTATCTCATTACACTTTTATTTCTAAATAAAACAAAAATAAATTCGCGATTATATAAAAATTAATAAATACGGCTCGAAGGAAAATTAAAATCAACGTGAAAACCAATGAGCCTAAGATGAAAATTATCTACATTAAAATGATCGAAACGTTCACTTAATTGCATTATGGCTGTTATTTAATTTCACGTCCACCTTTACCCAGGATCTTAGGCTCATTGGTTTTTTTCGCGATTATATGTTTAATGCTCGGTGTATGTTTAAATAAAAAAAGATAGGGAGAAGGCAATAACGAGCCAACATGTTCGGGTAAAATTCTTCTTTGTTTCGAGGGTGTTAAACAAATGTTAACAAACGTTTCGATTCGCTATGGGACACCTTCTTCGGTGTTTCAATAAAAAAAAAATTGACAAATCATGATTTCTTTGCCTTGTTATTGCCTTCTCCCTATCTTTTGATTTAAATTCGCGATATTCGTCTCGAAGATTCTATAATCCCGCAAGACAATCGGTGCGCGCGTGTATATTCTATTAGAAAGGAATTTCGCGCTGCCAATTCCCGACCAAGCGCAACAACGTTGTTAAGAGGACTAGTACGCGTGCGAGCGCAAAAGCTATATATTCGTTAATTTGGCACGATTCCACGAACGAGATCCGGCGTGTTTCTGGCTGAGACCGGCGCGCGGCGGGGCGATTGTACCAGACAAAAGAGAAGCTTGAACTAAGGAATAAGACAAGGTGGAGGAGAGGAAGAATAATATACACCGCGCAATATAATTGCATGTAAATGGCCTTTATCTCCGGCACGATCCGTTTCCTCAGCCGTAAACACTTTCACGTGCGGCAGGCGGACCGATTGCGCGCCGGACTCCCGTTTCGCTGCAACTTCTAATTACGGGCCCGCCGTCGTCGCCATTCGATTTCTAACGCGTTATACAATATTCCCGCTCGAGCGAGCGCACCTCGAGCAAATTTAACTCGTCGAAAGAGCTATACCGATCTCTAGGAAAAGATCGTCCAAAAATTCAGATCCGCGCGCGCGCGCGCGCAGATTTCTCCTCATTTTGCATAGGAGCCGTCATCCGGCCGCTTTCGGATTCGGAGGAGTCCGCACACAAAACTCGTTTTACGAGTTTCGCCCTAGCGCAGCTTCGTCGGAAGATTTTCACCTTCTTCTTCTTCCTTTTTTTTTTGTTTTCCTCCACTCGCGGAATAATCTAATTAGAGCGTGCAAGACGATCTCCCTAAGATCGATGAGATGCCGCACTCTCTCTCCATACCTATCTTGACGAGATTTGTTTCGGGCATGCAATTGTGCGAGAGATATACCATACGCGATCACAGAATAACGTCCGTTCGAATAAAACGCGAGTATATACACGAGACATCCTTGCCAAGGCCGCGGATGTCCAGGCGGCGGAGAGAAGGAGCGACGGCTCGTGACGCAACTCTTGCCCGGCCGTCGAATCGCGCGAGATCTTAATAAGGCCAGTAGGCAAGGTCAACACACCCGCTTGCCGATCCGCTTGCCGTGATAAATGCGTGGGAGATTGCCGCACCGCTCTCCCATGACCCGCCATTGTCAAGGAGTCCCACCACGTATAGACGTCGAGACGTACACAGACGTATTAAACGAGAAGATAGTTTCCTCGCTTCTTCGAACACAGTCGATCCAAGGACGTTTGTTTCGTCGTTCAATCGAACTGAGTCCTTCGACGTTGCGATCGGACGTTTCGCGTTTTTTATCCCAAGTTGGCTCAACGATGCTAATCGACGCAATTATGATAATTGTGCGAGTCCCATTGATGGGTCTATAAGTCGCGATTGCAATCGCGGATTCACGAGCATCGCGTTTTGTCTGGGACATTATATTGTACAGTACACGTATATATATATATACGCGCTATTTTGCTGTTGCAATGTTTCTCCTCGGAGCAGCTTGTTCGTAGCGCTCGACGCGCTGTGTCACGGTTTCCGAACGAAAGCGGGTTTTCCACCCGGGCTGTGTTCCCCAGATAGACAACGAACGGGCAAACCTGTTGGCGAGCTTTTTTCCAGACGACGTGCCGATATCGGCCAGTGTCGTCGAACGTGCGCGCGCGCGCGCACACACACTGCTCGCGGCGCACGAAGGTCGCCACTTGCGAGCGAGCCGAGCGAGGCGACAGGGAGATTTGTTTCCATCGAAGATGGTAATGATCGACACGCCGCCTGTGGTTAACGAGCAAATTCCATGGTGTCGGAGTCGGTCGTTCGCGCACTCGAGCGAACCGGCGACTTTCGAATCGCGCCGGCCAGCCAGCGAAATCGTGTGTCACGGTCGATCCTGCGGGTAGACAGACTTGTTCGACTACTCGATACAACATCCCGATACTCGCCCTGCGAGAATATGAAATTCGCATACACGCATAACCGTCGACGATGATGCCGACGGTCCCACATAACCGCCTACATGTCAAACCGTCTACTTACCTATCTGAAAAATTTGATATATCTGGGTTATCGATCAAATTACATTTAATCATCTTAATTCATAAACATTCGCTTTAATCGACAGTAGTTTTAAGGCCAGAACGAGATGACATTTTTAATACAAATTTTTATATTTTGTTTACGCATCGAGGTTATTATATATAATAACGCAATTAATTTCACACACACACACAAAAGTCTTTATCACAAAAGAAAACAAACTTTTCTCTATATAAAAAAATCCATATGTTTCGCGAAGTGCGCGTTTTGGAGCCGAATGTATCGTATCTATTGTTGTCTCTTTTCCGCGTTGCCGATTGGTTGGTTGGTTGATCGAGTCGAATCGAATCGGTAAGATCGAGAGAGTAAATAATGAAAAGCGATTTTGTGACAGTTCGTCGTATATGTAGAGAAAATTAAAAACGTAACTAAAGTAAAGTCACGTGACAGGAAAGAGTAGAAAAACAACACGTAAAAATAACGTGACTGTAATTTATATTATATATAACATTAAATAATACATATAATTTATTATATATTTATAATATTATACTTTTTATATTGTATTATATGTATTATATACATACTACAGAGTAATGTAACTGACCTCCGCCGCGCGACTTTGGCGGAGTCACTGACCTCGGCCGCGCGGCCTTGGCGAGGTCACTGACCTCGGCCGCGCGGCCTTGGCGGGGCACTGACCTCGGCCGCGCGGCCTTGGTGGGGGCGGGGTCACTGACCGCAGTCGCGCGACCGCGGCGGGGTCAATGACTTCGGTCACGTGATTACGGTATATATATATACATATATGCGTATGTGTGTGTATTACATATAGATATAGAATATTACATATAATATATATAATATTCTCTTTTTTACCCTTTTCCACTTCTCTCTCTATTTTTTGAATTTGATTTTCATGCGTTATTTCTGACATATACTTATTTGTTACGTGACTTTAGTCACGCGTGTTGTTTTTTCATTCTTCTTTCTTTCTTTTATTTTTTGAGTTTGATTTTCATGCGTTATTTTTGACATCTTTCGTATTTCATCTGCTTATTGCTATGTATATTTAAACACACGTCGATCTTTTTGTCTGTCTAGGCGGACACGGAACCGATCTACTGGTCCTGGGTCAGAGCGATTGCGGCCGAACTAGTCCGGCAAACGCCGTTTCGCGCTCAGCGATGCTTGAACTTCCTGGAGATATTGACCACTTGCCCGAGAGGCCCGATTCCGCTACCGGACAGCCCGACGGAAACTAGAAGACGGTCCCGCAGCGAGCTACGCTGCTGGCCGAGCGACTCGCCGATCGAGAAGACGACAATGAACCCGTCGGTGATACTCGACGAGTCCAGGAGAAGAGCGAGAAGTGAGTTACGGGGTTGGTCCAGTAGCAACTCGAGCGACGAAGATCTCTTGGGAGAATTCCGAAGTATACCCGCTATAATCAGCACCAAGGACCAACCGGTCAGTAGAGCGTGGGGTTGCAGCGAAAGCAGCGAGGGTAGTGATGATAGTCTTCCTTGGGGTGGCGTGTGTCGATCCAGCGTAGACTGCGTGGAATCCACCGTTACTTTATCGGAACCGGAAACGAGGGAACAGAGGATACAGAGGTACAAGGAGACGCGCAGACGTGAGAACGAGGCGAGAAGTCGACGGGTTCTCGAAGAGGACGCCAGGCGACGGAAAGCGAAAGCCGAAGAAAACAATAACAATCTACCGAAGATCTACAGTAGAACAAGGAGCAGGATTAACGCGACCAACGATAACGATGACCTGCGTCCAACAACGCGCTCGTCCAAGAAGGATGTGATCACGTCAATCGACGCAATAACGCGAAACTCGATAATCGACCGATTGCCTCCCGTCAAACCGAGCGACTCCAACACCGTGAGATTTACTGAGGATGTTCATCGAAACGAGGACGACAAACGAAACAACAACAGTCCGAAAAATGGAAACGGCAGTTCCGGAATACTCCGATCGGACACCAACGAGAGGAGAAGCAGAGCCAGAGAGAGAAGAATCTTTCGCGACAGAGGACAGGACAAATTGTCGCACCAACATCAACAATTGACCGGTATCACTATCGCGAATGTGGAAACTCTTCGGGAACGAAAAGAGCGTTTGGCTCTTCTCAGTTCCAGGATTCCTGTTTCCCGTCAATTGTCGTCCCAATCGTCTTCAAGATACGTAGACTGTCCGACGTTAATTTCCCCGAAATCACCGAGCTCTCCGGCGGTCTTGAAGGAACCACCTTGCGAGGAAGTAGTTGCTAAACTGCTCGAACGATGCCAGAGAGTTGATCACTACGTGCCAGTGCGTGAGAAACTCACTCTGTTTGAATCCCTCTCGAGGTTAGGCGGTCGGTTGGCCAGAAGCACGGAGGATCTTGGTCGCACGTCTTCCAAACCAAGTCCCAGAGGGAAGCAGCGTGCCAGGTCTCTTCATGATCTCAATCGAGGAGCAAGAACGGTACCCGTTAGGGAAATGTGTCGGTTCTTCGAAGGCGATTTGGAACAGGACGTCAGTCAAAGAACGATGTCTCTTGTCAAAACGAGATTTAGCGAACCAACGAAGAGCTTGTGGAAAGAATCGAGTACCAAACACGACGCAATTTCTAGCAACGCTTCAGCGCGGCGAAAACATTATCTGAAATAATCGACTTGACCATGTAAATCGATAATCTTCCAGGAGATGTTTAGACTTCGCGAACGAAAGTCTCTCAACTTGTGATTATTTATTTTTGCTGAGAGCAAAAGAAATAGAAAGAGCTCGATGATGAAGGTTTATTTATTATATACATTGAAATTCTGAGATTATGAAAGCGCGGAATATTTTTTGCACGATTTAATTATTATTATAATTCTTCCCGAACCTTTTCAAAACGAAATTAAATTGTAAGAACCTTTTTTTTTTGTTACTGCTAACGCGCACATGATTGATAGATCAGTGAAAATAAAAAATATTTATATACTCGAACTGTCAAGGTGAGGCGAATTGGCCGTAGAATTTGCGCGAGAGTTTCTCAGTCACGATGACGATTTGTTTCTCGACGTTGCGCGCGAATCGCTAACACGATCGAGTCGCGCTTATCAAGCGCGTTCGAGATTAGAGAATCGATTCTATTGATCGTTTTCGCGGGCGACGATTGTCACACTTGCGCCGAGAGAAAGTCGCGTGTACGTGGACTTTTTTCACGCTCGAGGCTCCAAACTGTGCTCGATTCTCTCGATTGCCGATTGTCGCGATTAAATCGAGGAAAGGAAAGAATTATTTTATACAACATATCTTACGAAAGTGAGAATAAAGAAAACTATAGCACAGCGAGGAGAGCACGCGATTGCAACAGACATTTTCCACCTTTGAATTAGATTTCACCTTTATTCGTTACGCGAATGTCGTTTCGGATTTGTAGACAATCGCGTCTGCTCGTATTTCAAAATACAAAGTGTAATGTTTATCGCGCACGATTGTGCGTATCAGCGAGATCGAGCGTGGCCGATCGTGACACGAAGAGAATGAGAGAAAGAAAAGCCACAAGTGAGAAGGAAAGAGAAAGAGAGAGCCGGGCAAAGAGAGAGAAAGAGAGAGAGAGAGAGGGGGGAGGGGGAGGGGAAATCGGAGAAACCGGTAATTTACGTTCACCGAGCGATTGCCGCAACGTTGAACACCTGTATGTATACAAACTGTACGTGAGTCGATCGGCGAGCTCATTTTTTTCGATTAGCCTGAATTCGATCATCCGGATTTTAATCAGGCAACAGCTCCAGATCGTTAAGTATCCAAAGAGATGAGAACGATAAAAGAATGCTCGCGGCGCGTTTTCCCGATTGCGACAAACTCATTTTGTACCTGAAATCGTTGGATTGTTTTTTTCTTATTATTATTTTTTTTTTTTAGACCGTATCGATGTTATAGTTTAATGTCTGTTACATATTTGTCGTTGTAAATAAGTGTCTAATTAACGATTTTTATATGGGATATATGTATATATACATATATATTTATAAATATATATATATATATATATATATATATATATATGTATAGATATATTTATGTATATCGTATATTGTGTCTTTTGTGTTGAGTGTGCTGTANATATATATATATATATATATATATATATATATATATGTATAGATATATTTATGTATATCGTATATTGTGTCTTTTGTGTTGAGTGTGCTGTAATATTTGCCATTATTTGGGACGGCGAGTTGCCCTGAATTCGGACATTTGGGACTTTCTGTTTCGAAAGCCAGGCCGCGAACCGCTACAGCCGACTTCCGCTTATTTCGAATAGAAACGACAATTTCCGCTCGTACGATAATTCCCCTCGCTCTCTCGTTCGTCTGATAACATGATAACACACACGCGTCTCGAAATTATACAATGTAGTTCTCTGCTCTCTTTGTCGAGACGTTTCCCGCTCGAACAGCGTCGTTGTTTATTTTTGTAATCGCGTTATATTCGTTGTAATACTCAGCGATTTTCTTCTTGCGTTACATGTACATATATAATCGTGAGCGTAAAAAAAAACAAGAAAAACAAAAAAAAGTAAAACAGAATAGAAAAAAGAATCGTATCGTTACAAATATGTCGTGAAAAAAAAATCTCAACTTATGACAGAACGATCGAGAATCTATGTGTTTCTTAATTATTCGCATATAATAGAGACTGTTGTTGTTAGAAAGTGTTCTGGAAAACTCAATTAAATTTTTCGCTCGTCATCGGCAATTCATTTTTCTTCAACCGTCGTCAGAACAAAGCGTTGACAATTTGTGATAATAGTGATTTACATTGTTATTATTATGTGTTTCAAGTTGTATTATACATGTTTGTTAAATTTGTTACATATCGCTACATGTAACGTGTTATATGTATTTAATTTATTTAACTGATTATTGTCTTCTTTGTATTGTCTAAATTTCTAAAGAGAATTCCAGAATACTGTCAAGAGAGGTTCCGATCGCCGAAAGTCGTCTGCAGCCAACGACCGTCTGCAGGGTGATTCGCAAAACATGATACACCGCGTTGCTTTTGTATAATTTATTTTGCGACAAACACGAACGACATGAACAGCGTCATTGATCGTCATCACCCGGTACGAGAGGTTGGTCGCCAAAGAGGTCTTCTAGTCCCTCGTCGGTTTAATTCCGAAAGGTTTAATTTTTTTTCCCATATGCGTAACTACCCCCGTAAACGATGTATGTACTCTGATATATATATATATATATATATATATATATATTCGCTCCCCTCCCACGAATATATATTTGTCAAACGGCACGCATCGCGTGCCGTTTCGCGGCGCAATTTCGTGGCGAAAGCCGCGCGTCTTTGTATTTATCTTTGTTGTAATAAAAAGGGACGAATAATGGCCGTTACATAAAAGTGATCGTCGTTAGAAAGCCGGGGCGCGGGCTTGACGGCCATCGCGCGCCGGCATTCTCTCTCGTTCCGTTTATTCTCTCTCCTATGGTTATTTGCGCACACATATCCTTTTTGCATTCATATTCGCGCCCACGCGAATTCACCGATTTCCCTTCTCTTCTTGTTTCTAGCGGTGCATTCCGATTCTGTGAATAACTTGCGAAATCACGGGAATAATAAATTTCGCGTATGGCGCCGAAACAAATGTCACGCGAGCGCGCGATTTCTGAAAAAAAAATCATTTAAAAGCGAGCGTTTTTTTTTTCAATTTTGGGAAAGAGCGTGTAAACACGCGCTGTGATTTTTTTTTCACGCTCGTTTGACGTTTTCATTTTCTCGAATAGCGACGTGTGTTTCATAATTTGATTCCCCGAGTTCGCATCCGAGTTTCCTTTCTGCGAGTGGCTCGAGTTTGTTCGTGAAAACCTGCTGCTAATTATCCAGTTTTCGCAAGCGATTGCGCGTGGTTCTATACACACGTTTCTCACATACGCGAGCAATATCTCTAGTGTTTTCCAGATGAAACGTCAGAAATTTTCACGAGTCGCGATTGTTGTTTGTACACACGTGAGTTTCTGAGAAAGTATCCGGCGCGCAGAGAGTCTCAGTTTTTCAGAGAAAACGAAACCTGCCGAAGCGAAATATCGAGCGGAGAAATAAAGAGCAACTCTTTTTTTTTTTTTTAATACAAATACGCCTTTTTAGTTATTTTTTTTTTTATCGAAACCGGAAGTAACAATTTGAGATCTCGGTGTCTGCCGGGCGATGCTTCTTTCAGAGTTTGCGCGCGTTGGCTAGCGTGTGTGTATTTAAGATCGACGTTTACATAATCGGCCATCGATGCGCACTATCCTGATGTTTGTTCATTTGGTTATTTACGCACGCGAACTCGCTCGCGCGCGCGTTTATATCGCCGCCGCCCACTTGTAGTACACGCGCATTACTTTGTAATTTTCGTTTCTGCGCGTTCGCGTAAAAGCGGCAGTTATCAGTCCGGGAAGAAAACCAACTGGTGGTGAGACTTGCTTCGATGTGTGATCCACTTTGCGACTTTTACGAGAACGAAATTGCTACGTGCGTGCTCGTTAGAATCGATTTGCCTTCGGAAATTCTCACATGCGGTCGGTTAATGTAAATAAAAGCAAAGGTTTCTCCGTTTCTTTTTCTTTTTCCTGCTTCCTAACGAATAAATTTTCAATCCGAAAGAACAAAAAAATTTATAATTCTTTCGATTCCGCCACATCGGAGACTTTCGCTCGTTATACGCCTGTCGAAGGCGGTTGAATCAAGATATACGCGAAATTTCGGCACGAAAATAATCCTCATGAAAATTCATCGAGACCGTCGTTCCGATGATTGTGCTTACAAAGGAAAGGAAACCTGTCCGTGCGAGAGATAAATCAATTTCTGGGTTTTTAATAGCAAATCCACGGAATGGCGGAAGAGAAATGTATAAATATACAGGGTGTCTCAGAATTGGTGTGACATATTTTGTAGACAGGTAGAAAGAATAAAACTGAGTCAAAAAATCCTATACCATTTTGCTAGATTCGTAATAGTTACCGAGATATTAATTAACAAAGATCCGCGAATGAGCGTGCATCGGGCTGTCTTACGCGCATACCTATTTACTGATCTTTGTTAATTAATATCTCGGTAACCATTGCGAATCTAGCAAAACGGTGTAGGACTTTTTGATTCAGTTTTACTTCTTCTATTTGTTCACGAGAGATGTTACACCAATTCTGGAACACCCTGTATATATGAGTGCGTATCTATATATGTACACCTCTTTCTTGGATTCGCAATCTTTTGATAATCGAGAAAAGAAACGTGATTTTAAATCGCCACCGCTGGTATATTCGAGAAATTGGCAGCGGTAGTAGTAAAATACAGGAAGACAACGGACTCGATCTCATCCAGACGTGTTATCACGACGACGACGACGACAAAAAGCGACGATCTACAGCCGAAGCAAAGTCCGCGCGCGGTGCTGCGTTCATTTTTATAATGTAACGTATTTATTATAATCCATACGTGTGCTGCGCAGTTACGCGCACGTTGGAATCTGTACGTAATACTTAGGTGCGCACACAGAAATCATGCACGCACGCACGCACGCACACACACACATACTTGCGCTACATCGTAATTCGTTTCCAGCATGTCGCGTCGCCGTCGCTTATTTGGAGCGCTTTAATGGGCAGCCGCAGCGACGATATTCAGCTCATTAATTCGAGCACGCTTTTGAGCATGCCTGACACAATCATGCGCGAAATTAGCGCATAGTGCAGGAACAGAGAAAAAGAGAGAAAAAAAAAGAGATAGTAGAACGCAGAGTATGTAGGTATATATACCGTGCCCCTCTCGTCATTTCGCGAGGCGGATTTGATTTATCGCCGACTACATCCAGCGCGCGCGAGGAAACGAAAGGCAGATCGCTATCGACATAAGAAACGAAAGGTTCTTTTGCGAAGAATGAAAAATAACATGATCGCGAATATACGCGCGTGTTAACGAAAGGTCAACACGCGCGTCGCGCGGTTTTTCAAGTTCGTTCTTCGGGGAGGTGGTGATATCAGCGTGTCTCGCGAGCGCGAGATTGCCAGCTGAACATTTAAATGTCGGCAATACCTGTGTGCGTTTCGATCCTCTTCGTCGTCGTCGTTGTCGTCGAGAAGAGATCAATCGCGATGACGCGCGGCTAAAGATCAACTCAAATAACATCCACGTGGAATAGCAGAATGAGAAAGAGAACAGAACAGAGAGAGCTCTTTATATTTAGCGCACAATACGTGTGCGAATTGATTTGTATAAAAAATAAAACGCTCTCCGATCAAGATGGACGCTTCTGAGCGCATTTGTCGAGCGCATTTCTTCTCGCGTCGAGAGTGACGTCGTTGAGTGACAGAGTACGGTTCGCGTACGGTTTTTCGCGCGCGTAACGAGCAGAACGGTCTCGGCATTATTATCGGGATAAGGAACCGTTTTTTTTTTTTTTTAGATGCGAATCTAAAGGAAAGACGACGTACGCAAGCGCTAGTTGCGTGTGTGAGAAAATACTCGCTCAACGGTATTGAATAATCTGTAAATTGATAAGTGGAACGACAACTGAGTTGAGGTTTACCCTCGAATTTGTGAAAGAATTATACAGTTATACAATAAATCACACCTTGTCGAAGTATGTAGCCGAACATCATGCGTGTGCATGGGTTTGCTCCGTTCGGTTTTATGTTCGACAAGCCAAAGAAACGCGGGTAATCGAGCGAGTGGCCTTGATAGCCACTGGTACTGGCCATGGTAAGCGGCGGTTCGAGGAGAAACATGCACGCGCACGGCGAATATTGCGACGTTCGATCGACCGAGCCTGTCGATCAATCGCCGGAACTGGCTAATCTAAAACTAGATCGTCTCTCTCTCTCTCTCTTGCGTTGCAAAGGAAGTAACTCGATTGTCGTCTTCGGAGCGCGCGCATATATAATCAGAAGTGATTTTTTTTTTTTTTTTCAATAAACTCTGTTGAAACTGAAAAAAATTAATTTGAAAAAAGCAAAAGGTGACAATAAGCGGAACAGAGAAGAAACAAACAACTT